CAGTTAATAAAAAGGGAAGTAAAAGAAAGAAATTAAAAACAGGCCTGGAGGATAGAGAATAACAGTGAAACAAATAGGAAAACAGTCAAAATGGGAAAAACACTGGATCAACCAGGTATTCACATGCTGTTCACAGGAACATATTGAAAGCTACAGTACAATGTTATAACCAGGTAATTTGTATGGGTCAAGAAATCTGACAATTTCAGGTTTTTTAAAATATCAAGTTCTTTTCAATGAATGTGTGAAGAATACAATGAATAATGCAATCATTGAGTTGGAAGGTAACCGTTTGATCCAGCCCTGCCAGGGAATGAATCTATATCCCTGGCCATCTCTCGGGGATGTTTCAGTATACATTCCAACTATCCCAATATGGCAGGGACAGTTCCGATCCATCCTCTGTCATCTGCTTTGATTTTGAGTTCCTGCATGGCAGGGGGTTGGACTGGATGGCCCTTGTGGTCTCTTCCAACTGTATGACTCTATGATTCTATGATCCCACCTATTTAGTTGCTTTAAAAAATATGCAAGTTTCCCTCTTTTCATCCCACTTTCCCCCTTTGTCCTCAGCTTACTCCATTTGTTGCAAACAGAGTTCGAAATACAAAAGTCGTTTGCACCCAATTAAATCAGCAGGAGGGCAAGGAAGGGCGAAGTCTTTCCCTTCCCAGTAGGATCTGTCAAAAGCAAACTGCTGTGGTGCCCCTAGCTTATGTGTTCTTCATTAACAACTTTTGCAGTTTTGACCACTGATGTTGTTTAGCCACACATGACCTGGTTTTCTTCTGTGAAATGCTGGAGGGCATGGTTTCAGCTATAGATCTTTACCAGTTATGATCAAATTTGGTACGTTCTTTTCAAAGATAAACCATATAAAATTCTCAGCCAGCTGCACTGGTCAAATTCAATAAATGACATCTATTTCCAGTGTGGAGAGGACCATCTTGCAGCTGCCTGCTGCATACCTGTTTATTGGTCAGTGCCCATGCTGGCTGAAGGAGTTTGGAAATTGTAGTCCAAAAGAGCAATTTTCCAAGCTCTGCCCAAAGCAGATTAAAGTAGGGTACATTCACAAAGGCAGCCAGCATGGTGTAGTGGTTAGAGTGCTGGACTAAGACTCTGAAGACCAGGGTTCAAATCCCAGCTTGGCCATGTAATCTCACTGGGTGACTTTGGGCAAGTCACACTCTCTCAGCCTCAGAGGATGGCAATGGCAAACCCCTTCTGAAGAAACCTGCCAGAAAAACCCTGTGATAGAATCATCGGGTTGCCATAAGTCAGAAATGGCTTGAAGGCACACAACAACAACAAATATTCACACTGCACAATTATATCAGTTTGATACCACTTTAACTGCCATGGCTCTAGCCCAGGGGTAGGCAACCTAAGGCCCGGGGGCTGGATGCGCCCCCCCCAAGGCCTTTGGACCGGCCTATAAATCCCAGCATTGTGTAAACTGGAGCCATGGCACTTATAGCTGGCTCAAACAGTAACCACTGTGTAGTGTGGATGCACCCAAAGTGAGCTTAAATTTCTTCTAGGTCCAAAACACACTGCAGAAATAATCCTGTTTGAGATTGCTTTAGCTGCCCTGGCTCAGTGCTAGGGAATTCTGGGAACTGTAGGATTGTCAGACATCTAGCCTTCTCTGTCAGAGAGCTCTTGTTGTTTATGGTTTTATTTTATTTTATATTTTAGCCGAAGATGTTTTAATCAGTGTCTGATTTGATACTGGGTTTTTTGGATTTATACTCTTATGTATTTTTAATTGTTAGCCGTCCCGATTGTGCACAAATCGGGGTGGGGTGCACAAAAGGGGTGGGGTATAAACTATTATTATTATTATTATTATTATTATTATTATTATTATTATTATTTACAATAAACTACAGTTCCTAGAATTCCTCAGCATTGAGCCAGAGCAATTAAAGCAGTTTCAAACTGGATTATTTCTGCTGTGTGGATTGGATCCTGAAAAGGAAAAGCCGCAGGCGTGTTCGTTGTATTGTGGGGGGAGTGGTCAGAACCAAAAATATCCCACAAAAACCCTACTTTATCATTTTGGCCATGTAATGTCGCAATTCACAAGCTCTTTTAATTGACTTTCAGTCATTCTGAGCAGACACACTGGTAAATAACAGTCATTCATCAAGGTATTATGCATCTGTAATTAAAAATTAAGAGGTAATTTCTTCCAAAGGAGGAATGGTTCCAAAGCCTCCTGTGCAAATGACACCATTCTTTTCCCTTTCAGTGACCCAAACAATTACTTAAAGTTTCATTCCTTCCCCATCATTCAGTCCTCTTCTTCAAACCCTCCTTCCCACCCCCCATCAATCCTTAGCCGTGGGTGTCTCTCCCTCCCCAGCTCCCATCTAATTTATTTCCAGGGTTAATTTTAATGTGGGATGGTTTTATTATAAACATTTGTGTATGTATGTCGCTGTGTGTAGATGTGCGTGTGTGCAGAAATGGTTTTCATTAGCGTGCGCGCACCCTGAAGCGTCTCAAATGCAGAAGGGAGATTTGGAAAATAAAATGTTATTACTGTTGTTATTATCTTAAATCAACCCCTCCAGCTAAATTCAACCAAGCAAGGCCATAGTCAAAGCCTCTGTGATTTCCCCACCACAAAAGGAAAGGCTTCGCCGTCTGCCACAGCAAAATCTAGATTCTGCAACAACAATAAAATGATTCATTCATGTTCTCATATCCAGAGCTTATAGAATCATAAAACCATGGAGTTGGAAGAGACCTCAAGGGCCATCCAATCCAACCCCCAGCCATGTAGGAAGACACAATCCAAGCACTCTTGACAGGTGGCCATCCAGCCTCTGTTTATTAACCTCCAAAAAAAGGAGACTCCACACACTCCAAAGCAGTATATTCCACTATTTGGAGCGACTCTTATCATCAAGAAGTTCTTCCTAATGTTGAAGTGGAATCTCTTTTCCTGTAGTTTGCATCCATTGCTCAGCATCCTATTCTCTGGAGCAGCAGAAAACAAGCTTGCTCCATCCTCAAGATGACATTAAGATGGAGAGAAGACATGTTTTGTTATTTAAAAATTAAGATGAACTTGATTTATAGTTACAGTGCAACAGCTTAAGAGGAAGTTACGTATGATTGAGAATGGTGGGCAGTTGACGTAAATGTTCGTTGAAATTGTTAGTGAAATGTATATGATTTTTTGTGGGGTTTTTTTTCTTTTTTTCTTGCGTGTATGTATTGAGGTATTTGTTAGTTTGATATGTGTATGATTTTTTTATACAATGTAAGAATATACTTTAATAAAAACATTAAAAAATATATACTTTAATAAATACATTACTTTAATAAATACATTAAAATATACTTTAATAAATACATTAAAAAAGAATATACTTTAATAAATACATTAAAAAAATTGACATCCCTTCAAATATGTAAACGTGCCCAACATGTCACCTCTTAACCTTCTCTTTTCTAGGCTAGACATACTCAGCTCCCTAAGCCATTCCTCATAGGGCATAGTTTCCAGACTTGCAGAACAGGGGAGATGGAACAACTTTCAGGCTTGAACTTCCAGAATTCCCTCTGCTAGGGAGGTAGAGTCCCAAAAGATAGCTTATTTCAAGCTGTGCTAGATATTTCTGTCCTTTCTCCAGAACAATTTTGTCAGAACACCACATTAATACACAAACGCATATACACACACCCATCTTTCTTTGACTAGGAAGGAAATTCAGTTGCTGAACCTGAAGGCAGAAACAGTGGAGTCCATATGCAAACAGGCAGGAGAACTGCAACACAATGTTGCAGTTCAGGATACTATAGTTCAGAGCTCCAGTTGTTTCATTCAGTTTTCCCTTATCTTTCCCCATTCATGGGTTTTCCATTCCTTCCTCTCAACAGTATGATGGCCTTTATTGTTGATGGCTGTTGTTGCGTGCCATCAAGTCGTTTCCAACTTATGGGGACCCTAAGGCGAACCTATCATGGGGTTTTCTTGGCAAGATTTGTTCAGAGGAGGTTTGCCATTGCCTTCCCCTGAGGCTGAGAGAGTGTGACTTGCTCAAGGTCACCCAGTGGTTTCATAGCTGAGTGAGAGTTGGACCCTGGTCTCGAGACTCATAATCCAATGCTCAAACCACCACTTCATATTGGCTCTTTTACATGAAGGTACTTTATATGTGCCTTTTGTCATATATGATGGACGTGTGATAAAGCTAAGGCCGATATGAAACTGATACTGAAGTTGATGCAAGATGTTTAAAAAATCAGAATGCAGTTGAAACTTGAGTTATTTTTACTGGGGTTATCAAACGAGAAATTGAGGGTTCTAATTTTAAAGGGATACACAATAGGATATTGGCAGCAAGGGCCAGAATTAGAAAAAAGCTTTTTTGCCAATAAAAGAAGGAAGGCTCATTCAGCATCAAGCCCAGGCCATCTTAAATATACCCATCTTAAAACAGAAGGGGAATGTCACAAGTATTCACTAGCTGCTCCAGAGACAGCCAGCATGGCGTAATGCAATGGCTCCCAAACTTTGGTCCTCCAGGTGTTTTGGACTTCAACTCCCAGAAGCCCCAGCCAGCTTGACCAACAGTCATAATTTCTGGGAGATGAAGTCCAAAACATCTGGAAGACCAGAGTTTGGGTACCACTGGCATAGTGGTTTGAGCGTTGGACTACAGCTCTGGAAACCAGGATTCAATACCCTGCTCAGCCATGAAAACCATTGGATGACCTTCAGCAAGTCACAAACTCTCAGCCTCAGGGGAAGGCAATGGCAAATCTCCTCTGAACAAATCTTGCCAAGAAAAACCCATGATAGGCTCACCTTAGAGTCACCATAAGTCAGAAACGACTTGAAGGCGCACAACACACACAAAGTCAGAATATATAGAGAAGTTTAAAATATTTGCATCGTTGTTTTTGTTTTGGAGGGTAGGAAATCATTTTTTAAAAAAAAAAATCCCAGCTTCTCCTATCCCTTTGCTGGGGATTCTGGGAATTGTAGTCCATTTTTTAAAAAGTTAAGCTGTTCTTCTGTAAGGCTTGTACCGACCTGTAACATTTTGTGTACTTTTCTTTCTTAGATCAGACCTAGTGCCACACAGCACAGAGGGTGAGGAAATACGCCAAACAATTACAAGCCAAATAGATTGTTTAAAAAGCAAAGCTTGACACATGGGAAATGATGATGCCCCTGGAATAGCCCCACATTCCTCTCGATAGGCTTGACTACCCCTCAGCTTTGAAATCTCCCTATGCCCCAGCTGGCACTATCTGGAAGGCATTTGGTCCTGCAATGGTGCTTTGCACCCATCTGGGCTTAGGAAAGATGTATGTGTGCAAGTGGCTCTATTTGTTTTGACATCACCGTCCATTATATCATGCCATAATGTGAATGGATTTGAGAATGTGATGGCTCTCTTGGGAACAATCTTATCCCCATGCCAAGCAAGAAGAAAAGACTTTGGTTTTAACCACATTTTCCCCAGCTATTCCCCCTCTGCACAATTCTTCCTCTTCTAACACAATTGAGATTCCTAAATACTTGGGATTTTTAAGTTTTAAGTTGCTGCCACACTGCAGATTCAATGCAGTTTGGTACCACTTTAACTGTCATGGCTCCATCCGAAGGAATCCTGGGATTCGTAGTTTGATGTGGCACCAGAGCTCTCTGACAGAGAAAGCTAAATATCACACAAAACTACAGATCCCAAAATTCCATAGTCTTGAGCTATGGCAGTTAAAGCAGTGTCAAACTGCATTCATTCTGCAGTGTAGATGCAGCCTTAGTATATAAGTGCAGATTCAATTGGATCCCAACATCAGTCCACACCAAGGCTGGGCGGCCTCATCTGGGTTACATGTGGAGTCCAAAGCTACTTCTGTGGCCCTCAATCCCTCCAGAGTCCTGAGACTGCCATTTTGTGGCCTGAAATACAAGGTTGCATTGCCTCTCCTGGGACCCTTCCACATTACATAATTATGGCACATGAAAAAAACATGATAGATGTACTCCACATTTTGGAGATGCTAGAAGTCCTAAAAGTAACATTGGTCCAATACACACTGCAGAAATAATCCAGTCTGAGACTGTTTTAACTTCCCGGGCTCAATATTAAGGAAATCTTGGAACTGTAGTTTTCTGAGACAT